GGGAAAGAGGTGTCTGGTGACAATGACACATAGTGGAGTGATTTCTCAGGGTGCGTGTGAGTCATTTTCTTGGGATCCAGAAGAGTGCCTTTTCCACCATGAGAATCTTGAGGAGGTTGTAAATTAATGAGATAAAAAGAATGAGCAAGCTTTCTGATTGAAATTAGGGTATTTATTGGAAGTTTATAGATTCGGGGGGAAGGACTAGGATAACTGGAGTTGGAGGGAGACCCTTTTCCTGGGGTCATTAGCCCTAGGCCCCAGGGATGCAATGGGAAGTGGGGCCCTAAGAACATGTTGCAGGGGTCACGCTCTTCTCCACGGTGCTCCCCTCGTGCGTGACCTGGCAGGTGAACGCGCTGCGATTTCGGCACTGGTCGGCAGTCATGCTCAGGTAGCTGCTGGCCGCGTACTTGTTGTTGCTCTGTTTGGAGGGCTTGGTGGTGTGCACGCCCTGGGTGACGGTTGTGCCATCTGCCTTCCAGGTCACCGTCACCTCAGCCGGGTAGAAGTCGTTAATCAGGCACACCAGTGTGGCCTTGTTGGTTGCCAGCTCCTCAGAGGAGGGTGGGAACACTGTGAGCGTAGGGCTGGCCTTCGGCTGACCTGTGATGTGGGAAAGGTGAGAGGTCACAGGCCTGGTGTTTATGTGGAGAGCCCCGACCTAATTCTTGACATGGGACACAGACATGAAGTTCTAGCTGAGGCTCCTCATGTTAGATCAGTTAGATGAGAAGACAGATGGTTGGGAACACCCCTTCTGATGAGAGACTCCTCAAACTGATTTGTGGCAAGTCTCCCCACCCTGAACACAGCCATCTCCAATCACAGAAGCCCTCACTGTGGATTGCTCATCTCAATTACTTTCCCGCAGTCCTGACACCAAAGAGGAGTGACTCTGCTCAGGTCTCCACAGGAATGTCTGTCTGACTACCTCCTGCCGGGTCCCTCCCTCTGGATATGCCCATGAAGGTGTTTGTCTTTCACCAGTTTCTTCTCCCTGTGAGGGAGGCAGTATTTCATCCGAGGTCCTTTTCACACCAACAATGTAGCCCATGACCCACCTGCACAGAAACCTAGAACTTTCTAGGCTGCCTGATTAAACAGGGAGTGTGAGTCCCATAGTTTTGTCTGAGGAGTTCATTTAGCTGGAGGTTTCCATGAGGAGGAGGTTTTCTGTTCTGAGGCTGAGTCTGCGTGAGCTCTCAAGGTCTTCCTGGGCATGAAGTTATCCAAGGGGTTCTGTGTGTCCCCAGTCTTTTTACTGCCTAGGCATGTTGTGTCTGCTGTCCCTCTGAGCAGTCCCTCCCCGGGCCTCTGCCGCTGGCCCCAACGTTACAACGCTCTATCTTCTTCATGCATATATCCCTCCTGTTAAAAGGGCAGGACCTGAAACCTTTGGGTCCCCTCACAGGAACATTTTCCTCTGTCCTTGTCCCACTCTTGTTTGTGCCTCTCTAAGCCTTAGTCAAAGGTCCTGTTCTTAAATAGTGCTGAGAGCAGCCCCAAAGCTATGACCCAGAGAAGACAGACCCCAGGAGATCAGACAGGTTCCTGTATCCTGGTATTGTCCTGGGATTCTGTGCCCCATCTTGAGCCCAGGAACCCGTGCCAAAGCCCTGGAAAACCATCCTGAGTCCCTGTACCCCTGGATTCTGTTTAGCTAGCCCCTGAGAGATGGAGATGAACCGAACCGCTCAGAGTTCAGAAATAATGACAGCTGAGGGACCAGCAGTTAGTGTAATGGCTATGTCACTAGGCTCCCATGTAGTAGACTGCAATTTGAGTCCCAAACCCAGTGGCTTAATCTCACGCCAGGAGCGTGTGCGTGCGTGCCCAAGATCCCGAGAGGAGAAAGGAGGAGAAGGGATTGCGGCGTGGCCATCCCCCCTGGGGGGTGATTTCTCGC